GCAATGCAATGCCTCCCAGTTAGCTCAATGGATAGAGCGCTGGACTGTTGTGGGGGAGGTCAAGGGTTCTTAAAATAGTTGAGAAGAATTTGCTACCTTTCTAAAACATCAAGAAATGGTTAGATATTCTAGTCTTCTCGGATAGGGATGAATAAATGGAGGTCCCGTCTCCTGCAGGGTTGGGGTAGGAGACGTTAATTTCTCACACACGAGATTACTGTGTGATGTATGTCCTCCCCTGGGGTGGGATGGTTGGGATATTGGGCGCACTTAATTTGGAACCTCGCTCTGTTGTGCGACCCTCACCACACTCTGGTGAAAGTGATCAAATTAAAGTCCGTCAAAATTTTCTATTTTCGTGATTTTTTCGATGCGTGTACCAAAGATTGATTATTTGCCCCGTTGGTCGTGTTGAGATTAATATACTGACTAAAGATTTCGTATTGGTCGGTAACTTTGAATAGAAGTATTACAAGTGAAATATAGACTGATATATTCCATTGTAAAAACAGGAAAATATTGGAAAATTTTACATCAAAAAAAGAAGAGGAGAGAAGGTAGCACATAATCAGCCATGAATCTGGAGAGAGAGAGACTTCATTTCATGAGGGTAGCACGTGACAGTATTCTGATTCATCAAACTCAGATTTTGACAATTTTTCCAGATCCAGTTTATTCATGCTATATGGTTGGATTATTTTTTCAGTCATGTTTTTATAAAATAATTTTTCTTTAAACTCTTTTTCTGAAATATTGGACTTAAATTTTCCTTACGACCCTTCAAAATTTTTTAACCATCTCTGGACGACATACTATGTATAAGTAACGTTTCTTTAAGCCATTTTTCTGTAAATTTTGGTTTAAAGAAAATTTCGACCGACTTCAGGACGATTTAGTAGTAAAAATTTTTGAGGCCCTCAGGATAAGTGGGCCAGAATCCCCATTCCTTCTGAAGTGACCGACAATTTTTTATCTCAGAAGCACTTCATAGTCTTCCTCCGGCTGGTGAAAATTTTTTGGACACTTCAGGACGACTATGAAGCGCTGCTGAAAGTGGGTTTTTTAACTGAGAGTGTTCAGGTACACTTTCTTGAAACTTACCCCTTCTTCTTGTTTATCACGGAAATCATCTTGCCATGCGCCATGGCAGTAATGAATCACGGTAGGAGGGTTTACAAGTAATTCATCTGCATGGTCCAAGAGTAACAACTTTTTTAAACACGTCTTGCCACACCCAGAAGGTCCCGCGATTAGAATGCTACAAGGCGTCTTGAATCGATAAGCCTTATTCATCTCTACTCCCTAGAATAATAGGTCTTATTTAGCTGGAGTTGTCAGAATCTCTATTTGGAGATGGAAGGAAGTTCAACATTGGAGATGACTCATGGCTTTCATTATCCCTTGGGTTCAAACACGAATATTTCTCGTGATGTCTCTCGCGGTTGTTTGAACGGCTGAATGATCTCTGACAGCAACGACAAAGGTGTGACATCACTCCCCACAGAGCTTTGGTGAATGAGTGCAAGTACCTCTGCCTCTCTTATAGTCTATAGATAATAGTCTTGCATCCATTGACAAAGATCTCAACTCTTTTGACGTTACTTCCTCATGCATTGGAGATTGTGATCTTGATTTCGCTTTCGATTTTCTCTCTTTTTTTTTTTCGAAGGTGTGATCTTTATTTTGCTGGTTGTATTCTTTTTATCTAATGATGAAGACGTCATTATTTCAGGAGTAATAGTCTTTGTGGTATTTTGCTGATGTCTTCTTTCTTTTGGCAATATTGTTTACAGTAGGTTTGGTGAATTTATTGCGTTTTCATCTGAGCGCCAAAGCACATGTCTACACTCTAGCGTCTAAACTCCCCTCCTCTCACTTGAAGGAGAAATAGCAGGAGGATAAAAGAGCTTCCAAGAGGCAAGCGAGTATGGGGAGAACTATGAGAAGGACGGTGAGGAGGATTGTTGGGAGAAGGAGGAGGATTGTGACAAGGAGGATTGCAAGGAGAGGGAGTGTAAGGAGAGGGAGTGTAAGGAGGAGGAGGATTGTAAGGAGGAGTAAAAGGAGGAGGAGGATTGTGAGGAGAAGTAGGAGAAGTTTGACGAAGACTGTGAGAATTGTGAGGAAAAGTAGGAGGATGAAAGAGCCGCCAAGGGGAATTGCTTGGTTGAGAAATATGCAACATTTTATTTCTGGTAAAAAAGCGTGGCTGATTAGCCACTTAACTTGTGTTAAGCCGAAAATATGCTTTTCATTAGGGCCGCGTAATAGAAGAATGATCCTCTAAATACTATAATCTTAGGAGCTATTAAAGTCAATAAAGTGTTAAAAGTAAGCATCGACGGAACATGGATTCGATAATAAAAAGAAACTTCTTCCTCGCACATTCAAGTAAGAGTTGCCCCCTTAGGCGATCAAAACAAAGACTTGCATGCAATTGTCTCTTACAATTCTGCGCTCGCATGGTGTGCTGACGGATGTCGCAAAGTACAATCCTGGCGGCCGTACCCTGACTGATCCTTCCGGAACAGTTCATGCAATGAATGAAGGTGGAGGGTTTGGCTAGCGGTCTTTATGTGGAAAATAATTTTTTCAGCAAATTCTATTGTCGTAAAGACAGCCCTATTGCTCCATTCCCAATTCGAAAGCCCAACTGAAGGCCACAGCATGTCCTCTTGTTAAAATTGTTTTATTCAAATGTTTTGTAGAGTTTAAAAGGTGCATTTGAATAGGGCTTGTTAAATAAACAAATTGTCTTAAACATAATTCTTTCTGATGAGACCTGAATCACACTCGTGTTTATTCATACGTATAAAAAGGACTCTAATAAACACTCATGTCACGCTAAGATTGATGAAATACCCTTGCAAGCCATATCGAACTTTGTTTTTTCTCCTACAGCAAAATACTATCATGACGGGCTATACCGTTGTTTTTCTTATATTGACAAATGACCAATCTTTTCCCTTTTCTACATAGTTTTCTTTGCTTTTTACCTTTCCCTGATAACCCGAGATACTATTATTGACATAGACTATATGCAAACTTATCAAACTTGTATGGCATTTCTAAAAGGTCATGATCTTCCTAGACTAAGTAAATTAGCAAAACTAGCATGGTCCATTCACATGCGTATTCTTGCAAGCTCCTGTAAGTTCAGACAATTCCAAAGCTGAATCCACTCTTCTGATAAAATTTGAGAGAAAGGATGTAACAGGAAAAAAAGGGCGATGGGTTTTGTAACCTAACAGTCTGGTTAATAAGTTCTGCTGTATTTATCAACATGGAGTGCAGTTTCGTCTTTCTTAAAACATCTTCATATTCAAACCAAGAGAAGCGTAGCCAACGAATGTTAGTAACTATATCACTAGGCATCTCCACTTAACTTTAAATTTTAAGTTACAAATAAAAGTACAAATGCATTACTAACTTATCTAAAGGTACATATGCTGCCCTACACCTGCATCTGATTACATAAAAAAATTCAAAGTACACAAGCTGGATTAGCTTTGACATGGAGGCCAGTCAAAATCCTGCTCTAGTTGACGCTGCAAAATTCGGAAGTAGTTTTTTGGGTGAGTTTTGCAAAAAAGCCGATTCAGCACTTTCTTTAGGCATTGAGACGGAACAATGTACATCTGTGTATGCAGAAAAAATAACAAACAACGTTGAGATCTAATTACATAGAGCCCAAAACAATTTCTTAGAATTAAAGAACATATTCGCTTTTTCCTAACATTTACGAGTTGTACAAATTAGCCGCTTATGCTTATGGTTTATGTTCTTTAAATGACGTTCTTGTGATTGGGGGTATACACGTTTGTTAAGGATGGCAAGTTATAAGATACCACTCATCACACCCTTATTAGATTGTATCATTACCAGAGAATGATTAATGACTAAGAGGATGACAAATTTTTCATCATGAGCCCCCAAATGAAATACCTATGCTTAGTTTACCTACGAAAGAAAAAGGTGTAGCAAGAAATGTTGAAAGTCTGAAAAATTAAAAGATAAGTGTGAATCCTCCAGACTATTTCCTGGTTAAAAGAAAAACTTGTTGGTCTAGATGTTAAAGAGCAATTTGAACCGCCATCTGGAGTACATATCGAATTAGGTAATGAAAACTATATGAAAAGGAGAACAAGGGAACTATCTTGTAGGAATGTCGACTCAAATTTAAACAATTGGGCGACTCTGGAAGGCTGCCTTTAAAATTGTTACACAAGTGCTTTATAACCCTTTTCAGGCTTTGGAAATAGGCGGTAATATTGAATGGAAAAAAAAAATCTTGATCAGTTTTGACCCTTTGGAATGGAATGGATTTCATCCACAATCCTTTGTTCTCAAAATTCTACATTGTTCTCTATCACCAGTAACTGTCAATAATGTCGATATAGCAGAGGAATATCACCCCGACAACACACACAATCAGTTAACCCTCTCACACCATCTGATACTTTTGGAATTGGTTTGAATGAATAAGGGTTGAATTTTAGCGCTCGGTATACTCAGAAGGTCAGGATAACTGTACTTTCTCAGTCAAGATTTCTGTCGTAAGCTACGTACGTACTGTCGGTCTCCCTTAATTAAACATAAACGAACAATTTAAGTGATACGATTTTAATGGCACTGCAGTTTCCTTCAAAAGTCAGAGTATACAATTTTCTAACTATTGAACTAAAAAGTTTGACATTATGTGTTTTACCTTAAAACAAACAGCCAAATTCAGGAGATAACTTTCACTAACCTCAATGAATAGAGAAATGAGACAATTGCATGCAGCAATACCAACAAGCGTCCATCTGAAGATTTTATCTGGGATGGTTGCTAGCTGAGAAAAAAAGGAAATCAACTCATCATTCAATCTATCACCCAGTAATATAACTAGATATTTAGAGAACATCAAACTAGGAATTATTATAACCACGGAGCTCGGAAAGTGATGCACTGTACGTAAAGCTTTGGTGTATTGTACACACAGCTCTTTGGTAAACGCGGAAGGTGACTGGAAGGAGACTGCAAAGCTAACAACACAATAAACCAATCCTTTGAAAAGCAATTGTTTCCGCAATAAAAACCTATCAACACTATCAACTAATCCTTTAAAAAGAAATTGTTTCCGCAATTAAAACCAAACGTTACAAAGAAAGATCTTTACCATTAACACAGGAATGAGAACTCCGACCTTATGGTTGCACTATTAATAGTTTGCTTATTTTTTAAAACAACATGCGAATGCCACCCAAGTCCGAAAAAAACCTCCGATCAGGTCTGATACTTTATTATTAATAGGGATTACTCTGACTCTCTCCGGTGGATCTTAACAACACCCGCTGATACTCAAATTTTCAGTTTGCTAGTAAAAGTATCGCTCTTATCAATACAAACTCGCACATAAAGGTAGCAGAAGTATAGCATAAGTTAGAAGTTGACAATAAATAGCTGATAACTGACAACCAAAAATTGGAAGTGCTAAAAACATTTGAAATGGTGTATTAACTTGAGAAGGGATAAGGATGCTGTCGGCATACTTTGGCGTGATTAACAGGCAAACGGTGAGAAGGCCTGAATTTATTTGAATCAGTGTGTCAAATATATATCCTTAATTACAAAATAATAATTGAAGTGCCTTGCAATCCAAAAAGTATAAAATTAGTTCCGTGAATTTAAATACATTACCTGAAAAAAATGCTGCAATGTTTCTCCTGGAAGAACAACTAAAAATCCCGTAAACACAGTTAGAAATACCACGACCAAAAGAAAATACCCTGGAAAGAGAAGTAAAATAATCTGAAAACAAAGTTTAACTCGTGATAGGAATCAAGTGGCATTTGATATATCCATGTTATGATTTCGAACAACTTCGACATGCCATTTTCGCTCGTTGAAGAAACAGTGTTTCTTCAAACGTGCGAGTAAATTTACATACCACTTTTATAAAATGGTTGACGATAAGGAGCTCCGCCAGAGAAGACTACTGCCAGGTGAATATATTGGAAAGAAGAAAGTGCAAACAAAACAGCATTCTGATGACATTTCACATATGTAGCATTCTTATCCGTAACGTGGACGGCGCTAAACCTGAAAAAAAAAAAAAAAAAAAAAAAAAACCCTTAGTTTTACGCACGCACATTCAACCAAACTAATCTCCATCAGAAGCAGATTAGAGACTGCAAACTCCAGGGTGAAAGATTTGTTTACGCGTAATGAGCGATACGAGGCGTTTTGGTTATCAACCAATTGAACTGAGAGTAGAGAAGATGTATATTTAGCAAACCCCGAAATAACAGGTATTTTAAAAGGGTAGCTCATAACAGAATGATCTTCACAGGTAAATTGCTGCTGAGGAAATCGCACAAAAGAAACCCTCATATCTGCTAAAGTTTTCAATACTGTAAATCGAGTAGATTTCCTTCCACAGATTGAAAACAATTAAAGGGAATCCGCAAATGAAACAAGAAATAAGAGATATTTTAAACGAGTTTATAAAAGTCCATACAGTGACTCGAGTCTGTGCATTAGCGTCACCATTTGTTGTCTCACCAAGACTGGGACTGTACGTAATAAAATCCAGCAACCTGCACGATGGTTTGGACAGCAATATGGGATATCAGTGAAAAAAGAACGATGGGAGACATAAGACTTCCACCAGGTCTCTTAGCCACCAAAACTGGATACGCCTGTGTCTTACCCACTAAAAATTGACCAAAAACGAAAGTTAAAACAAAAAAAATTGCAATTTGAATACATGGTTGTCTAAAGTTTTAACAGGAAAACGAGGCATATTCATGGGCAATTTGAAATTGCTGAATATCAATTTTCCTGCGGAAAAAACAATTCATGTCGCGAGATGAATACCCGAGACTGAATACCTCACCGACAAAACACTTGTAAACACGTTATCGGGAAAATTATAAGAATTTTAAGGTGAAGCAGCAACACAGAGACAAAAAAAGTCCAAGACTTTGCCTCAACAGGCATGTGCTGCCTTCCCCTCCCGCTTCCCGTATTCAAAAACGATTTCTGGTCACGTTCGCGGTTCTACGTTGACAATATAACCTAAGAGAACATTTGATACGATTAGCCATATTTATTAATACAAAATTAGTTATGTGGTAAGCTGTAAATAGCAACGACAAAATATTCAACCGCCCTGGGACCGAATAACTGCACTTGAGACTGACGCTGGTAGGGACGATGGTAGGGAGGGGTAAGTTTTCGCGGCAAGGAAAGAAATTCAAAGAATTCTGCTAACTACTACGCAGAGCCTAGAAAACACTTTGGGGTTCGGCACGACCTTAACTATCAGACTTTCCACCTACATTCACATGTTTCGTTAAAGATGCTCTTACTGTCTAATGGAGGTGATGGGAAACCGCTTCGGAAAACTGTCCTCGCTAATAGATGACACTGTTCAAGAGGGCCGTGGAACAGTCCCATCAGGGGCTGCCGAAAACTGAGCGGCATCGAAAGCTATGGTTGGTAAAGCTATGGGAGAACAACTAGCGACTGTCGAGACTTGTTGGATTGTAACAATTTGCAGAGAACTCGTTGCATCAGCACCCTAAGAGGAAATGCATACACCTAGTCCCATGGGACGACCTATGGGTCAACTGCCAATGCCTGTAAGGCTGGCAAAGGTATCGATGCATACCGCAATGTGAGAGAAAAAAGCCTGGATCAATCTCCCCTAAAATGCGTCTCCCAAATTATGTCCACAAGCTTCGTCCACCATTTCAGAAATGGACGATCCAGGAGGATCTCGTCTGCGAACTGACCCTGACTGGAATGTCCGTGAGCTACCGTGTAAGGGTGAAGGGCCCCTTTTCTGAGACGGCACAGGGAGACCAAATTTGTCATTTACTACTAACTCCCAAGAGGACCATACTTATCTTAAAAAAAAAACTGACATAATTCATTTGAAGAAACCAACACCAGTCAATAATGTACTGTGTGATTACTGAAACTTTACCTTTAAATCTAAAGTTAAAAACTAAAAGCTTAACACACAAAAATTAACGAAAAAGAGGAATAAACTTACTGACGACAGCCAGACTTGTAATAACGACTAAATCAATGTACAAATACTGCCAGTCACCAAGGTTAGAAGAAATCTGTGTAAAGGAAGAGAGAAACTTCCATGAAAGGAGACTTTTTTGTATGTGTAAAATAATTAAGAAACTGTTTGTCAGTAACCTTACCCATGCTAATTAAAACTTTACTCAAAGTGCAAGGTTACGGAGAAGAAGAGAGAAAAAGGACCATTGAAAATCCCGAGATGGGATGGGCTTAAAATTCTACTAAGGCACCATTCTACCTAATTAATTTTCACCCTTGCAAGTAACCAGGAAAGAAGGAAGATGCATAATGATAGGGTCGACGACCTAGCAATGGGCACACGGGTACTCTTACCAACGTTCTATCCAATACGCTACAATGAATGTCAAACAAAAAACACAAAACCAGAAATATCTAAAGATTGCTATTTTTCTCCAGGGAGAACAAGACTGTAAGCATTAACTGCGAAGATTTTGTTTCTCTATTCGTCTCCTATTCTCCAGTGGGATTGGTCATATCACAACATTTTCTTAACTCAGATACGATGAATATATGAAGTTCATATATTTTGAACTGCGGTTATAGATACGCATGATGCACGATCCTCGCAGTAGAGAGCGCTATTTATGCAATAGCGAAAATCAGACCTGAAAAAAATACGTACGTATCTATAACCGCAGTTCAAAATATATGAACTTCATATATTCATTGTATCTGATTTATCATCACGGGTTTATTACGAATCAACTTAACGGCCTCCTCCCAGTTGGCTTGTTAGCTCAATTGGTAGAGCACTGCACTAGTATCGCAGAGGTCAGTGGTTCGAATCCCTTACAGGCCTGATTTTTTTCAGGTCTGATTTTCGCTATTGCATAAATAGCCCTCTCTACTGCGAGGATCGTGCATCATACGTATTTTCTTAACTTTTAACTTTTTCAGGTGTTCATGGTTTTCTAGGCATAACAATAATTAACTGGGTGTATCCGGTGACAAATTGACAACAGGGCAACACATTGGATAAGGAAGGTTCTCAGAATTCTGGCCAGTACTTGGGGTGCTAATATGATACATGTTCTTAGCATTCTCCATCTTTAAAAAAATTAACATAATTGAATTAAAAATATTTCCCAGTTATTACAATTTCCACGCTGCAGTTCACAAACAAAACTTGTGTTTTTAGACGATCTAACTTTAGAAGATTCACGGAAATGAAGATTTTAGGTGCCACATACCGAATAAAGTAAAAGAACAGAAACAAACTGCACGATGCTGTAAAGCGCCATGTACTTAAAAATTCCAAATGATGTTACCAGAGCTGCTCTGCCTTCCCTGAATAAAAGAAAAATTCTCAAAGTTTGACAATTCTACTAAAGCAGGAATCTCAGGCAAGGATACGTAGAAAAGACATCGACTTTACAGATTTCTGGAAATTATGGGATGTTGGTTTACTGATAATGCAATAGTACCTTTGAGCATTTACCTTACAACAGCAGGCACACATTCAATATGTGGTATCTAAATAAAAATAATAATGTTCATTGATTAATTTCCATCTCTGTACCTTTCAACGATTTTTCTCAGTTGTCTTCAAAGCTGAATTGTGTTAATGTTTCAAAAACATCTTTGGAAAAGCAAAATGTACTCCGAAAAAAGCTAGCCCCACAGAATCCGTGTTTTGCGCTATTTTTATGCCTTAATCCGCTTCTTTTGACTGACCAGCTTACGTTCTTTCTTAACAACGTATAACGTATTTTAGAAGACACAAATAAAGAAGCCTATCCATGCTCTTTGCTGCGAAGCCGTGTTTCCTCAGTAAGTAGGAAAAGAAGAACCAAACAAAGGTTTGTCTACATGCCAAGCGCCGTTACTGACGTTATAATTATATGTGTGCAGAGACGAAAATCCTCAAAGAGAAAACGAAATGGACTGTACGAGTTTTAAAGGATTTTGCGCACAGTTAGATTGCAAGATTACGTACGGTAATAAAACTCAAACACAACTAACTCTCGCACAATATTATACACTTAGGTATGGTCCCGAGGAGAACAGTTAGATCGCAGGATTGACAGAATACCGTCCGCTCACGAACTGAGAAAAAAAAGTTATAGTTTCGTGTTCAAAAACAAAACAGAAGAAAGCAGGAATTATGAAAAATATAATCAAACTGGAATAACTGTTAACCTTCCTACAAATCATGATAGTAGTGTAAGAGAGACTGCGATCATGCTGAGGTCCATCTCTGCCAGCTAATCATAGCGTTCCCAGTCATCGCAGGGAAGCAAGCCTCTGAAATTACATCATGCACCCTTCGAGGAAAAAACTAAGGGCTTGCTCTGAGATCCTTTCCGATTCGTTGAGCGGAAGGCCACGTCAGTCACTGCAGCCTAGTTTTACGGCGCTGTCATCCCGAGCCATCTTCGAGTTACTGTGGATTCGGCTGTGGCTCATTCATAAAACATACGCCGCGAGTAGTTTGTTTTATAATTGTCATTTGGAAAAAATGGCAATTTTTTTTTATGAGCCACGATTCCACCGGATTTCACTGAACAATTCACTGAACATTAAGACTAAAAATGTTATGGCACGAGTTAAATTTGACCTGCCGAACTATTTCAGTTTGTGAACTGTTGCAGTTCGTGAACTGTTGCAGTTTGTGAACTGTTGCAGTTTGTGAACTGTTGCAGTTTGTGAACTGTTGCAGTTTGTGAACTGTTGAAGTTTGTGAACTGTTGCAGGTTTGTGAACTGTGATCATGATGGTTTGACATTTTTGACTGCTTTCGTCTTGTTCAACCAGATTATTTGAACCATTATATCAATGATTCTGATGGGCTTATTTCAGCGTGTTTTATGAGAGTATAGAGCATGCTGACGACATTGTTGTTCGCTCTGGAAATAAAACTTGATTTAAAATTGAAAGCTATGTGTGGGGAATTTAACGGTTCTCTATCATTCAACAAATAGAAAAGCCTGGACTGTGCCCTGTTTTATTATAAAGCACCCAAGAAGTGGGGAGAAACACTCGACTACGTCCAGTTTAGCTTCTGAAGAAACTGTGATTCTACGTCAGTGAGGGGTAATACAAAGTAACTTGCTTTTAACTGATCTGATAGTGCAAATTGGCCATCGGAGTTTCTAAAGCTGGCGTTTCGAGGGTTAGTCCTTCGCCAGAGCAAACGACGAAGGGGTAACCCTACAAAGGTCAGTTCTGGAAATTCTCTACGATGGTCAATTTACTCTATCAACTCAGTTAATAAAAACAAGTTATCCTACGTTATTTTATGTCCCTGACGACAAGGCTTGAATGAAAACGTCTAAAAGAACCTTTGAGGTAAATGGAGAGGCAACAGAGGCCTCTGCTTCTGACAATGAAATTCCCGCATGTGCCACCTTGAGAGCCTGCACAAACAATAAAAAAACTGTATTACACAAAAAATCTACATGCTTCGACGTCTTGTGCCTTTTGTTTGTTTGTTTGTTTAAACCGTAACAGTGTGAGATTGGCATCAAACCACTTATGCTACTTTTTCTTACGTTTAATTTCAGTATCAATCCAAATCGATACAGCATGTTCCCAGTAGTGATGCAACTATCTATCCATTATCATTAGAATTGTTATATTACCCCACAATCGTTAGCTCCATCTCCACACATCCCAACACAGTAACTAGGTGCAAAACAAAAAAAAGCATACTAGAGTTAATAAGCAATTGCTTGATCCTTGGTGTCACTAGGTAATATGCTACGACTTATACTACAGAGTATGTTTCTTAAGGAGATTCCTCAGTATTTCACTACACATCTTATGCTTCGCATAAAAATTACGTGCGCCTGTAATCAGGCGAATAAGTGCGCGAGTATTTCGGAAACATGGTATTGTTTTCATTCCATGGACCAGGTAAAGAGGTACAATGGTCTAGGCTCTTGAACGATCACAGTGACCGATGGGAGTGACCAGGGAGTAGGGATGGCGCAGGGGTGAGAGCAATCGCGTCCCACCTCTGTGGCCCGAGTGCGATTCCCAGACCTGGTGTCACATGTGGATTGAGTTTGTTGTTGGTTCTCGTCCTTACTCCGAGGATTTTTCTCCAGGTCCTTCGGTTTTCATCCCTCCGTAAAAACCAACATTCCAAATTCCAATTCGATCAGGAAACAGTGGGCAAGAAGAGCCACCCAATGGAATGTCCATTGCTAAATCATTTATTTATTTATTTAAATATTTATTTATTGTGCAATTTTGGTTTATAAACTATTATTAAATTGAAGAAATTAAAAACAATCATCAAAGGAAAAAAAGATATCACTGAAAGCGTGCACGAGACCCGTTACTCGATGATACCAATTATCGTTACTAAATGCTTTTCGCCTGAGAAACGGAGGCATTTTCCACTGGTCTTTGCCCCAGGCAATTTCCAAAATTCAGAAAACATATAAAAAAAGGCTTAACATTGCCTAAAAAGTTTTTAATTTCGTCGATGGCGAATTTTTTTTCAGCACGGTTGCTTTCATTGCTTAGGCTTTGTTCTACAAAAACACGATTTCATTGAGCACATTCCTGCATTTTACAGTTTCGATACAGTTCATTCACGCTGTAATGGCTTCCTACAATCGTGCGTCACAGCGCGCGTTGTTGATCTTGCCCTTTATATTATAAACAAGTAATTGCTTGTTTCCTCATAAAATTAAGGAATAGTATCACCTGTGTTTTTAGAAGTAGCAGAACTCCAACGAGTCACGCAGCGACGAACTCATCTTCTGAAAACAAGCGTGAAAACAACCTCTCGAGGAACACTTTGAGGCGATGTCGTGTAAAATTGTGTGATTTTTCCACAAATTGTATGCAACATCGTTCCATATACTCGGGAATTTCTGCCTATCCATTTTCTTTTCGAGTGTTACTTTAAAAACCCTTACTTCCAGTTACCGCAAAATGTTCAGTGAACCAATGAAATGACACGCGTGATTTGTGCCATTACAGGCATAAATGGGATAAATTTAGCCTATCATATCTCTTTTAAACGCATGGTAGGCTATCTTTTATATCATATAAACAGACAGTGGTAGGGATTATTTAAGCAAAGTTTAAAACAAAATTGAGAGTAATGTGCACGCTCACGCCACCTCTGTTTGTTTGGAAAATAGAGTTTGTTTTGAGAGTTATACGAATGCCTGGGAATTAATGTATTCTTTATCATAAAAGAAATAAAAAACCCTCGACTGTGCTTGTTCTGTTGTGAAGCACACAGGAAGCGTATAAGAAGAGGTAAGGGAAACACCATTGCATATCGTGTTTCCCCTACACCTTTTTTCGTTTTTCAGCTTCTTTCTGCCTGGTTTATAACAGAACAGAGTACAGTTGAACCTCTTTTTGCTAAAATCTGCAGCAGTATGACTTACTTGAGATTCTGCAACCCTTGAATTAGATGCGTCTTCTGGTCAGGCGACATTCGTGCAAATACAGTTCCTGATACGAGCACCTCAACGCAAATTAAGTAAAAAAAATTAAATCATGTATGGTATAAGGCAACGAAAAAGATAAATTTTTGTCCATGAATTAGTAGCCTGACAAGTCATTGATAGTTCTCCTGTATTTTGTTTCGTTCAGTTTCCTCTTTATCCGTGTTCTTTTTTGGGTGGGTTGTTTCAAGTTCCTTCTTACTTTTAAGAAAATTAAGCAAATCATTCAGACAATTTGGTTATGATGCCATTATGCGTTCCTCTTTCTTTAGTTCTTTATATCACCTTTGTAAACTAAAGAAAACATAACGGTTGCTTTTGAACAAACCCTAGAAAGAGTGCACTCATGCACCCATTCACAGCTGTAAGTCTTAAGGATGAAAGCAAATAATTCTTATATAGCTGACTCCCCAAGCACGCAAGATGAAGTGAAACCTGTGATGTGATTCGTTAGCCAAGCGGGCTAAAGGGCAAGCGTTTCGGACAGTTTTGAAAACAGCTCAAATATCAAATCTCAAAAACATCTTTTGACAGTCAAAGCACAGTAAATCTAGAAGAGTTTTATGGATTTCTTTGGCAATTAATTGGTAGTTTGTTTCCCATATGATAAATCCTTTGCTGAACAAGCCTTTGCAACCGAGACGGCTGCATATCGACCTTGTTTTTGGTTACTTTATTTTGATTAAGACCAGAATCCGGTCACCGGCTTGACTTAACCTAGCTCAAGATTGTGCGACACTTCTTCTGAATACCATATACTTGTTAGATCCAGTCTTCGCGACCCCCTTTAAACAAGTGCTCGTGGAGTGCACTGTCTACTGTATTCACCTTATTAAATAGCTGAGGCTTGTGAATTCTAATGAGGGCAAACGTTTTCCCTGAAACTGCCACGTGAAAGCATCGTCTTCCACGATCTGCGTTATTATACTAGTAAAGCACAAAATATAATCATATCAGTACATTTAGGCCTTCACCCTTAGGAAAAGTTACACAATTGCAAAGGTTGAGGACCACAAGAGTTTGAAGGCCACAAGTTCATCAGTTGAATTACTGTCATGTGTTAACCTCGTTAAATAAAGTTGTTATTATTATTATTGTTATTATTATTATTATTATTATTATTATTATTATTATTAATGGTTGACCCTCGTTGCTCTTTCCAAGGTTCTGCAATTGATCATACTCTAAAAAGCTTTGCTTAAGTGTGCTTAAGTGTGATAATTTGGTTTTATCAACTGAGTTGACAACGTATATTGACCACCGAAAAGAGTTTCTAACCGGTTCTAAGGCTGACGTTTCGAGCGTTAGCCCATCGTCAGAGCGAATAGAGGAATTATGGGTTGTGTGTGTGTGTGTTTTATAAGTAGAAAATGCAGCAACGATATCGGTGGGAACATGGTTATGAGACAACATTTGTGAATTTCAGAATGGAGATCAAACATGACGAGTTGTTCCCCTTACTGAGTGTAGAGCTACTCAATTAAGCTCCCAGAATCGACTTCAAAGTCTAGATCGAGCCCACAAAATACAGAACCCCTAACTGCACTACCATATATCACAAACACGAACCGCAACTGAGTGTGAAAAGACAGACAAGTATTTAGTTACCCTTACTCTGTTGTCTAGAAACGTTTTGTTATGTCTATTTGTTTTCAACTCCAGCCTTCTTTGAATGTCGCCTTCGTACTGTATCTACCCTTGACGTCATAATGACACTAAAGCGCTCTGGAATAAATCTTCCTTCCATAACTTCTAAATGTATCAGTACCTCAGATTCATAGTCATGGCTGCCACTTTGAACAGCTCCAACAACACACCACTTGACATGAAGTTCGTGGGAGTGGTCCTCACTTAGCTTGGCACTTAGTTCAATAACCTAAGGAACACCTTGCGTAAGTCAGATTTCATATTTGTCACTACGGTAATGTTTTGCTACTAATTACTGTAAATTGTTGTGGAGAGTTAAACATCGTATCCATTCATAGACATTGACAGCTGATGAGTTCTAAGCCACAACAATGGTACTTGTAAACTATTACCTGCATAACATCAAAAATTCCAGATTCTTTTTTTTTCTCCATTAAACTAATATCAAAAAGTGTCCAACTGTTCGGCTTAGTTTTTCCTCTTGTTCTCACGTTCATAGAAGAAATTGTCTTGCTGGTGATACTGGAAAAATGATTTGTTACGTAAAATGGGTAGAAGTAAAGATCACAACAACAGTAAGGGAGCCACCTTTCGGCTTGGTTTCTCCTAGTGACATATAGAGATAATATGTACTTATTGCCTGAAAGCGAGAGCCAAATATATTCCCACCAGGCCCGGACAAACTCAGTCGATAAGCATTTTATCGCATGACGATTAAGTGTTGAAAATTTGTTTTCTACATAATTAGGAAGCGATAGACTGGTGCACCCGGGGACAACCACCGAAAAATACATACAATAAAAATGTTTTCCTTTGTTTTGTTTTTTTTTTTGGTTTTTCCTTTGTTGTTTCTTTTTCCTTTAAGTTTTTGCAACAAAGCCGTGTGAGTGCAGTATGGATTGCGCGCGCGGGGGCCGCACGGGTCATATGATAAATTTATGAATTTAACAAATAGATTCTACTTTGCCCTGTTCTTGTTCAGTAATAGGGAGCTTAAGCAACCACAACGATGAACGGAGGACGACGACCGGAAGTAACGTGAACGTCACTGCGCAAGCGCGAACCACGCATTTCGTCGTCGTCTTGTCGTCGACGACTTGAGGACCTGTTTCAGGTCGTCTTGAACTTCCGAACTTCAAAGCAGTTTTTCTCATCAAAAGGTGCGTGTTTATTGCGTTTTTTTGACAGTCTATGGCCGGTTGGAGTTTGTATTCGCTTCTTCGGTTGATTTAAACCACCTTGTTCACTTTTCTAAACAGATATAAAATCCTAAATCCCACCAACTCATTTTCCTTCCTCCGCACAACAGATGTCAAGTCAAGCGGTGAAAGCGACCAAGTAAGTTTAAATTTAATTGAGTATATTTTATGAAAGAGTGCCGTTTATCATTTTTACTGAATGAAAAGTTTTAAATGGCAGTACAATATACCACTGCGATCGGTCAAAACCTGTGTGAATGGAACTGCCGGATTTATTGCTACTAAAAAATTTTGCGTGTTGTGTCAGGTTTTGCGAATCTATTTTCGAAATGTGTGATATAGATTTACACCCATACAAATTATTCCGACAAAATCACATGGGAAAAAAAATAGTAGTCTTGTGTGAAGCGCGACGACTGCTATCTGTGCCGATCGCTAGCTAGCATTGATTAAATTGACAGACTTACGCCGTTTGCTCGCCGAAGGAAGGAGCATCAAAGGTAGAACATATCAGGCTAAAGCATGTTGAAAACCAGGCAAACCTTGTGCAAAACAGGTTTGTTTATATCAGCGACACTTAGAACTGAATTTAAATCTCAAATAACTTCCGTAAAATTTAATATTTTTAACTTTTGCCACGCGTAAATTATTGTAAATAAAGCTAAAGCTCAATAATTCCTTGGACTGTTGATGTTCAAGAATTGAATAACCTACTCTCGAACTTTCGATATAGGGGTGGAAATTTCTCCGCAAAATTAGATACCATTTTACAGTCAAATGTCTGGAACATTAACAAGATTTCAGACGTCGTCGTCCTTGAGCAACTTCACTGCTTAAAGGATCCCTTCCAACCACAATACCCTGCGCGCCTCTATTATTGTTTTGATGCCTAGTCAAATAGAAAGAACAATAAATTTGGAACGCGACTGAGGAAATTCAAGACCTCTGTGAGGCAAATGTACTCGGATGAACGAGGATTTCTTTCCACTTCACGACTTGTCCAATACCGGATGGCAGAGAAAATGGCGGATTTCACATATCGCGCGCGCAATGTATTGTGGTTGGAAGGATCCTTTAAGTTTCATTTTCCCGCCAAAAACGGCGTCCTCGTTCCAGACCCTCCGCGATTACTTGACGTCGTCATCGTTTCTTTCGTCGTGGTTGCTTAAGCTTCATAATAGATCACAGATGACGTCAAAATGTGGTACGAACATAAAAGTGGCACACGTGGTGCGGCCGAGGTGCAGCCCACAACAACATGAAATCTTTTTATTTAAAAAAACAATAATCTGTCAATGATGGCATCTAACCGCCTCCCGGTTAGCTCATTGGATAGAGCGCTGGACTTTTGTGTGGGAGGTCGAGGGTTCGAGCCCCGGCCGGACCAACACTCAGGGTCTTAAAATAATTGAGAAGAATTTGCTACCTTTCTATAACATCAAGAAATGGTTAGATATTCTAATATTCTCGGATAGCGACGAATAAATGGAGGTCCCGTCTGCTGCAGAGTTGGGGTAGGAGACGTTAATTTCCCACACACGAGATTACTGTGTGATGGCTGTCCTTTCCTGGGGTGGGTTGGGTGGGATATTGGGCGCACCTAATTTGGAGCCTCGCTCTGTTGTGCGACCCTCGCCACACTCTGGTGAAAGTGATTAAATAAATAAATAAATCTGTCCTCCAACAGATCATATGTAAGAACCAAGCAAGGTGCGTGCGGAACTCAGCCTATTGTATAAACACAATTACCTGGTGTGACGGTGCAATCATTCCACAGTCTCTAGCCACGCTCACAGCCGTTAACATGTTATCACCTGGAAAAGAAGTCCAAATCCAAAGTGTGTTAAGTAACAGTTTATGAAAGCCACACAATGATAACACCCATCAGATCATTGTTCATCACTCTTACTAATAAGCCAGGTGTAAATGGCATAATTTCTACAAGCAAGGTCACAAGCTCGGAGGCAAGATCCGACATAAAGGCAGGGGGTTTATGGTCAAGAGGAGTTACAGTATTTTTCGATGTTGGAGTAACACATGTCAAATCCAAGTGCAACCTCAGCAAGCCAGCGTCCACAATCTTCAAAGAGCAGGAGGAAGATAAAAGTACCAACAGTGAGTGTTGGATGTCGAAATGGGAACGTTTACATCTTTTTTGAGAGGCTCGTACAGAAGGATGAGGAGCCTTATCACACTACATTGATATGGATCAGTACATTGCTCTCCTTGCAGATATTAAGATCTGTACACACAAGTGTAAGAGATTTAAGGACACCTTTTCACGAGATAGGGACCTCATTAACGACTGCCGCCTAAACGTATCCGCTAGTTTACTTAGATTTTTATTATTAGACGTTTTTCGATTTCCAAGCATTTCATTATAGTTTTTGTTAATATGTTTGGTAATTGTAGTGAATTAAGGTTATTAACCAGTACGAAGGTAAGAGGCTGGCCTATTCCACCGGAAAATATGAAGAAAAGAGGGCCCTGAACATGAACAAGATGAAATGTTGGTACTGGGGCCCCCAGTAGTAACAACAGTTATGACAATTACTTTTATTTCTAAAGAGAGACGTTCATGAGAGTTGTATGTCTTACCTGTCACCATTACAGTTCTAATATCAGCATTTTGAAGCGCTCGTATCACAGGATAACTTTGGGGTTTCAATGCGTTTTGAAAAATCAAAAGTCCCAGAAGTAACAAGTCTGACTCGATTCGATCCCTAAAAGAAACCAAGCTGTCAAATTTTAGTACTAAATTTTTTCATTTACATTGATATTACACAATTTCACAAGTTGTCACAACCGTTACAATTTCCTCAAATGTCGTTGGTGCATTAGCTGTTATCACGATTATTACGACGTGAATACTTGACATCACATCTGATACACGCCGGGCGTATAATGACGTGGTTAATCGCATAATTTATGACAAGCTGCTTCTTTTTAATTAATTCATCTGTAAAGTTGTAATCGGGGAACGTCCTCCGTAATTGGACACCTGTAACCTGACAGTTAAAGCAGCCAATTACACTAAGTCCACTCGGCTTGATCTACCAATCACAGAATGAATAACAATACCCATAGCAACTGTGGTGTTGATTGCAAGAGGACCCGAACTTAGTGTTGATTATGTATTGTTTATTTGCAAATAATTTAGTGTGATTACTTTCGTTTCGTAATGTCGTGTAACAGGCAGTATAAATATAACCATTTGTCCATTTCATCTAGGTTAGGTTAAGTTACGTAAGTTAGCAGTTACGTATCTAGGGATTGAAGCGTTTTTCATGTTCTCGTTGTTCGTTGCTTAAATACAACAAATTGGCAACGAGGATGCCAGCAAAGCAACCAAAAGGAAATGTCGTGATTCATCCTTTGTAGTTGGGCCGTTTGGAGGAGTTTACGCCGGGCAGCGATTGGAAGCACCAGTTCGAACGACTCGAAATGTTTTTTGCAGTCAATAGTGTTCGGCACGATAAATGGGTTCCGAGTATTCTAACCTTTGACGGGAAGCAAAATGTTTGCTTTATTGAGGTCTCTTGCAGCACCAAGAAAGCCAAAGGAGACTTGAAATTTGCAAGAAATTTTGGATACTCTGGCACAACATTTCGACTCAATGCCAATTTTTATTGCGGAGACAAGGCAGAGCCTCAAGAGTCGAAATCGATGCATCAGTATCTAACTAATTTACAGCGGTTATCAGAAACCTGTGAATTTGATCTAAACAGTGATGATGCTATTCGGGATAGTTTTGTTTGTGGGCTCCGTTCGCAATCCATTCCACACAAATTGTTAGCTGAAGTGTCGTTGAATTTACGAACAACGATGGAAAAAGGTCGCGTGGCTAACGGATACCGTTGCTGATTCTGGAAAGAGGTGCAAGGTCCTTGTTCAGATTGATGGGAAACCCATGGATATGGAGTTAGACAATTGTGCATCTGTTCTAATCATCCCGAATAATTTGTTGACGGATGTATATCCAAAAAAATCACTGCACCAATCTGACGTGACCAATTCAAAACTTCAAGATAACGTTGTCCTACAGTTCTTCAAATCAAAACCAGTAACATTTGCCCCAGAAGAAAGAATCCAGATGAACTGAGGAGATTGAAAATAATCGGTATACTATAGAGAGTCGAAACATCTCACTAGGCTACGCCCATCGTTCCAGTTTTGAGGCACGCTGGTACTGTCAGAATATTAATGTATGGTGATAAGATTACCAACTTGAGACGTACCAGAGTACCCCGTACCTTCCGCAAAGGACTTAGGTTCAGCTTCATGGTAGTAAAAAGTTCTCTAAACTCGATTTGTCATCTGTGTCTCAACAAGTCTTGTTGGATGAAGAATCCAAACAGTACGGTACGATTAAAACTCATCTGGGACTCTTTAAATACACGTGTCTACCGTTTGGTATAGCAGCTAGTTCAGCCCTTTTCCCAGAAATCTAAGAACTCTCTGATGGGTGCCCTTACGAGGATTTGGGCATTCTGGATGATCGGTGTGAAGTTAAAGCAGGTAAAAGTACTTGTTTATTAGGCCTTCAGTGGAGTCTGCCGTATTCGTGGTGGATGAACAAGGTATTCACCCATCGCTACGCAAAGTGCACGCAACTGAAGAACTTGCTCTTCCGGACGGCCCTCTGAACTGAAGTCATTTTTGGGCCTGGTAAATTACTATTGTAAATTTATCAACTTTGCTGCTCCATATACCAGCATATCAATTTTACTGCTCCCGTGGACGCTACCTTGTCAAGAATTATTTACCAAATCGAGAGAAAGCTCGGAAGAACTCTCCTCTAAAGCAGATTGTGCCTGGTCAACACCAGTACGTTTGCCGGTTGATGCATCGTCGTTCGGTTTGGGCGCTGTTTTGTCACATGTCTTAGCCGATGGAAGTGAAAGACCTATTGCCTCTGCATCGCGTTATCTATCTGCCAGTAAACAGAACTATTCGATGACCGACGAGAAAGCTTTGGAAATTATTTTTGAAAACAAGAAGTTTCATCAGTACTTGTACGGTGATGTTTTGACATAATGACTGATCACAGGCCAGTTACCCTTTTGCTTGGTCCAAACCGTGGTATATCTGAGCTCGCAGTTTCACCTCTACAACGATGGGCAATCTAATTGTCATTTTGTTAATTGTAAAGTGACCACCGTAAAGAGTTAAAAAGCTAACATTTCGAGTGTTAGCCCTTCGTTAGAGCGAAAGACGAAGGGCTAACGCTCGAAACGTCAGCTTTTTAACTCTTTACGGTAGCCAATTTACAATTTCAACTTAGTTTATATAACCAAATTACCTTGTTACCCCCACCGACGTAGTCTCCCCCGCAGCCGTTTTTAGTCTCGTCACGCAACGTTCCTCCCCACAAACGGCTGCTCACATTCGAACAACATTCCTTTCCGCTACTTCAACCAATCACCATTCGGGTTACACATGTCTAGAACTCTGCGCGCCAAAGTAATCTAACCAATCATATTGTTTATTTCATCTTGGAATTCAAAGCTTTCACACGGGGGTCTTACTGTCAGTTGACTAAGGAAAGCTTCTAGCACAAGTCCGTATGGATGACTTCGAATAGGAGACATATCAATAGAACCAATAGGAAATCTTGCCGGAGTCCCTGTTGGCTGATCGCGGTAGAAATACTAGAATTGGCTGTAGCATGAGAAGTACAAGTGGTATTTATAGGATTGAATTGTAAACATTTCGAGGATTTCCCACGGCACGAAGCTTGGATTTCTCCATCGTCGCTCTAAACGTTCAATAAGCGCTTCCTTCGCGGTCCTTGAAGATTCCCTTCAATTCATCTTTGAGCTCTTCAAGATGATCAGAGGCCTTTCTTCGCTTGATCAATCGTCGGTAGCAAGCTTTACAAACTGACAACTCGCTGGTCGCTGAATAGCAGCTCACATTCACATCCAGACAGGAACTAATATTCGCCGGAAAATCAAAAGAACTTTTTCCAAAAACATAAATTTTTTCGTTTTCAAGTGGAACAAATAAAGCAACGATCACTTTGCAAAACCTTCTTCGACGTTTCCTCCATCAAGAAATTACGATCAAATGCAGAATTTGAAAACGCGGGAAAAACGATATTGATTACAATCTCTTGTGCTCTGATTGGTCACGTAAGAAACGATGTCAGTGATCTCATTGGTGCAAAGACAACAAAGGGAAAGGGATGTTGTTCGAATGTGAGCAGCCGTTTGCGGGGAGGAGCGTTGCGTGACGAGACTAAAAACGACTGCGAGGGAGACTACCACCGACGCCGCATCACAGTTTCTTTAGAAACTTTCACCCTTTATTCATTAATCTAATTGTCAGTCTACCAGTACCAAAATGAGTACAGAGCATCGAAGAATTGTGCCCATGCTGATGCTCTATCCCGTGTTACACGAGAAGTGTTAGAAGCTACCGACAACTTGACCTTAGAGGCAGATCAAGTTAACTGTGCACAGGTTGAACGAGCTCCGAGTACAGCTTTAACACCTCGGGAGGCGACGCGGGCCCACCAATCCTTTCCCGTCTGATGCTTTTTTTGTTCACAAGAGTTGACAATATTTCACAGCAAACAAGATGAGTTTACGATTTAAGATGGTTGTACCAATGTGGTGATTCCTAGAAAAAACCAAAATGCTCTCTTGTCTGAGTTTCACTTGAATCACCCAAGAATGGTCCGTATGAAGTCCTTAGCACGAATCCTTTACGGAGATCAATTACGTAATGGCTGTTTGCGTCTTCTTGTTGCCGAAGAGCTATACTTCAACGCGGAGTACTACGAAATTTGTAAACTAAGCAAGGAATGCTCTGGAATCCCAGAAAATCTACTATTTTCCGTTGCCTTTTCGTCCAATGGTGATGGCGTAATCGCAAATGGTAGAAGTGAAGTGGATGCTGTGAAAGCGGAAGCAATAGCTGGCCGTGAATTTAAAAAGTAGGGTTGCCTTTCACACATGATGGCTCTTGCTTCTGTGATAAGACGACCGATTTACTCGGTGTACCCAAACGTGGCTTTTCAATATCGGGCACTAATGCACAATGTTCTTAAGCCTCGTTTACCTCCCGTGAATGATGATTCAGTGTGTCTCCTGTGGTCCAGATGCGGGAGCCTTGACAACCGACCAAACTCATGGTATGTGCCAAACCATTTCGTCCCTTTCCTTTGGATTCAGAAATATCTTGTGGGACGGTGCCAATTAAAGTGGCCACTGATGCCAGCAACATAGCGATGTGTCGATCATCTCGACAGAACGCGAAAGGAAAGATCGTTTTGAACATAGAGCAAAGAACAAAACGGGCAGTTTTTCAGTCGGGTACATTTCTTCTCCAAAACCTAGAGACAAGAGAAGGTATGAAGTTGACTTGAAACATTTGGCAGTCGCACGAAACTGCGTATATGGCCGGCATTTGATTCGTTCGTGGTGGTTTTTCAGTGGTAGGTGTATAAATAATCCGCGTGTTTGTATTTAATCTTATTCGTTAGCGGAAAAATCGCCATTGCGTCCCCAAACACGTTCTCTTCGTTCTGATTCTTAAAAGAAAAAATTGGCGACCAAAAATTGTGGCTTGTGTTTCGCTGCAAATGAAAAATTTTATTGTCACTTTTTGGCGACCACATTTTTCCATATGGCGACTGAAAAAAAATTTCCAGTCGCCAGTTGGCGCCTTCCTAAAAAAGTTAATTTCGGACCTTGAGTGGACGCCAAGTCTAAGTGGA